ATTCGCCCCGTGCATTATAACCAAGGCATTAAGTAGCCTACGAACTTTTGTTTGCAAAATGCATTTATTTAAATAGTTAAAAGGAGACAAATTCCTTTGTTCGGCACTTCCTTTTACTCGCCTTCTCTCTGCGAAACGTTGTACATATTCTATCATCTAAGACGAATTCATATATTAGTTTCGTATAGCTCCCATACAACTGATTGTTCAGATATGAGATTTTTCGTTATAANTTTAGATGCGATTTTTTATATAAGTATGTAACTCCTCTATCGATGTATGCAGATGTATTCAAAAGCAGTAATCTGTCAAAGTAAAATTTGCAGATGTTCATGAAAGGTATGAAGCCTTCGGCATAGCCGAAGACAGCGCTGCTCTTACTTGTTAATACTAAAAAATTCCTTAACAAGTTGATGCAATAGCTTTTCCCTGATTGATTGGCATGCATGGAGAACCCTAGCTGCGCTGATTGATTCTACTGGTCCGTAGGCCACCCAGCCCAGCTTAGTGGCCACTGCAATGGGTTGCTTCGGTCCAGCATCAATGGTGTCATTCGACGTGCACAAGAAGCTGTTGTCAAGACCTATCAATAATGAGGGTTTGACGTGCGATTGTGACAAATGAGCATATGTATTTTTGCAAAATGATTGCGTTGGCAGATCAAGATACTCCACCGTTCGCACATTTTTTAGATGATACGACGCCGAATTTATACCATGAATTTCCAGTGCAACAGTTATTCGCACAGCAGGCGGCGGGCTTTTGTTATCTTAATATTCAATATGGAGCGTTGGGCAAATTGTACAGCTGTGGTGACCGGTGCCAGCTCAGGCATTGGTGTGGCCATTGTTAAGGATCTGCTCAAGGCAAATATGAAAGTTGCTGGACTTGGCCGCCGCAAGGAACGCATGGAAGAGTTGCGAGCCACGCTAGCCGAGGATCAACAAAAGCTATTTTATCCCGTTGCCTGTGATGTCTCCTCGCTAGAATCCGTCAATGCAGCTTTTGATTGGATTATCAAAAATTTGAGTGGCGTTGATGTATTGGTGAACAATGCGGGCATTTACAATGTTGGACAAGCTAGCACAATGAACCCAGTGGAAATTCAACAAGTTATACAAACCAATGTCATGGGTGTGGTTTATTGTACGCAGCGAGCATTCAAATCGATGAAAGAACGTAGCGTAGATGGCCATGTGGTGATCATTAATAGTGTTGTGGGTCATTATGTGCCACAAAATGATGCACAAACAACGCCAACTTCGAATTTGTATGCGCCAAGCAAATATGCCTTGACTGCGCTCACCGAGGTTTATCGGCAGGAGTTTAGAGGACTGGGTACAAGGGTTAAAATAACTAGCGTTAGCCCCGGTTTAACAGATACGGACATGGTAGCTGCTCGTTCAAGGGGCGGTAAGAAGCCAATTCTACAACCAGAAGATGTATCAAGCTGTGTACTCTTTACACTTTCTACGCCAGCGCATATGCAAGTACATGAGATTACTGTGAAGCCGATGATGGGCGAATGAGAGGCAATTCGTCTGATAATATAGTTAGCTCTTTATTTGATGTAGGAGCTCTTAAGATTGTCTGTTATTACAATATATATTTTTTTAAATTTAAATGTGATAATAAATTATGAAATTGACCACTCGTGACTCCTCTGTGGTTTGTTTGTCGTTATACCACTGCAGTGTGAGTGGCGCGATACAACCTCGCACTCAAAGGGTATTGGCAATTTCCTCTTCTAAAAGTGTGATGGATGAGCCCTCATCCATCATAGCATAGACCGTAATACTTGACTTAGGACCACTTAAAATGACTGGAAGGACTTTAAATAAACATGTGCTGTTGATGTCAAAATTGGTGTTTAAAACGTGGGCGTTGTCTTGAGGTGACGAAGTACCAGATTTGGATGCTATGGCCGTAGGGGCTGCGGAATGAAGCAGTGTATTATGCATCTGGCCACAAGAATCAATTCCGCATACTTTTTTGAACTGGCAGTTACCTTAATTATGCCCACTTTGGAGACAAGCAAAACATAGGCGGCGTTGCTTGACGAGTTCCCACCTATTATGTACCGAAAGTGCTTTGAATTGCCGACACAATTCCATTTGGCGCACACTGCTGGTTCTCTGTCATCAGCCTGTTCGGATGCATATAACATTCGGCGAGATATGCTTGAGTTATAACTTGGCTGACGTGACGAAGACGGAAATGCGGATGTGTGGTGCTTTGACGGCGATTGATTTTGACGCTATGACGTTGTGTTAGCAAGCGGCTGTACTGTTGCGTAAACCGACGGCATGAGACTAGCGACTTTAGCTAGATCACTCAGCCAATCCGAAAAAGTTTGGAGAGTAGGGTGTGGTGTATTTACTACGTGTCGAATCCATTCGAATTGCTTCAAGGCTGGAATTTTTAAAACGAGTAATTCTAATAGCATAGTGTTGCATCAAGTGTTGATGACAATTGGCGGACTTCAAAAACGCTACAATATTGCGTACCCTGTTCGCAAAGTCGACAATTTGCTCAATATTTCTTTCGCTTATTGTTGAGCACTGTTGTATCTTTTGCATCTGTATGCGTAAAAGTAACTCTGGTCGCCCGAAATTAAATTCGAGCTCCTCTAAAACATGCGATCAGGGATGCCGTTTGGATATAAATAGGACCAATTGGATAAATTTTTAGATGAATTTTTACGGGATACTTATTTTTTCCGGTCAGTATAAAAGTGGATACTTTTTTAAA